TGACAGCCTCAGTTGATTCAATTCTGTAAGCTTGCTACATAGCGCAAATAAACCGGGATCTTCCTGGCATTTCAATTCTGTCAAATGTGCATGGGAATAGTGAATCGGACGACGAGCAGGAACACGATTCTACAGACGTTCTGACCTCGTGTACATACACAGATGCACAGGGTGCTGTTGATGTTTTGCGCTCCTACGCAATAAATAGCAGACGACATACTGATATGCTTGAACTTATCATGCATCTGAGGGTAAACTAAATTCATATTTCACTTCAACTGCAAAACAACAGACTTCTACTTGCTTTTTTCATCTGTTGGAGAATGATACGGACAATAGAAATGTGTGTGTATAATTTTGTTAAAATTTAGGGATTACACGAACTTGGAGGTTGGTTTTTATGATGTCTACTCATAAACTAATTTTACATTCTATTGCTCATGAAGCCAAGAGTATACAATAGTACTGTATTTGCTTTACTTTGAAGACTAAAATTAATTATCGATGTTGTCTGCTTAGTACACATGTGCAACCGATGGTGAGTAGTGACCTCCTATGCATGAATCTGTTTATGGCGACCACTTTTTTGTCGATCCCTTAGACAGGTTTGGCTGTACAAGCAATGAGACACTAGTCTGTCCTGAAAACATTGGATACATGTCACTGCAATACACTGCCCTTGTTCTTTGTCATGGATATGCACTTAGACCTTTTGCTCCTTAAAAGCCCTGGTTCTTTTTGGTTACTCTGCATCTGTGTGGCATTGTTTAACGAGACATTGTCATAGAAAGGGGGCAGTGTAGATGTTAACTATACATTGTTTAGTGGCAGACCTGTTGGTGCATATCGCTTGATCTTCCTCTGAATTCGACCCACCCGTTGACTGTCCACCTCCTTGGGTTTTTTAGACACTCCGTATAACCTGCTGCTGCAGTGTGCCCAACAGGTTACATAATGAACGGTATTAATTAGCGCGAAACTTAGGCTAGTAAGTACCTTCTTCTTCGATAATGTCTTAGGTAAAACACCGATTTCGACATGCACAACTCGCAATTGGCGGCGCTATTACATATAATCTTCCACATCTTACTTTAGCTCTATTCCTACACTTAAAGTTTGCTTTTTACTAATGTCTTTCTCGTTGTTTTCGCTTTTTTACTCACGCTTTCTTTTTAATTTATTCCCTGCTTTGCATAACCCATTGTTTAAGTTCAATTCCGGTAATCGTATTCTCTTCTGAGATACTGTGGTCGCCATCAATTACTTCGCGTCAACAAACTCCGTAGCATCAAATCCCCACTTCACTTATGCCCCGATCATCCTTCTGTGCTTTCCTTCGTGTCCGACAACCCCGTGTGGTTCCCTTACTAATTCACTGTTGCTGGCAAAGTCACCGCCCCTGATTCGAGTCTCCTCTTCATCACGAGCTATTACGCCCCGCATTATTTCATTCCGCGTTCAGCGATTTGCGATTTTGTACGGCAGTGGGCACCACCTTCCCGAGTGTTGGTGGTGTAATGCCGATATCTTTTTGACTGACAAGCCGCCCCTTTTCGTTGCCCCATTTTGCGCACAATTTTTTGTACCTGTTATTCATAATACTAATGATAATTCTCATCAACAGAGAAACTGTGTGTTGTAGCGGCATATGTCAGTTTGTACAAGATAAAAATACTCTTGCCTGGGCGATATGCATACGTGAAATATTGGGGCCCGCGATTTATGTACTAGCGTTTTGGCAGAAGATTAAAGCATAAACTGAAGTTTGGAAACGTGAATACATGTTGTTGGGCCTCTTTTACCTCATCGGGTGATTTTTCCCACGTGAATACAGGGGTTATGGTATTTAGATTAAGTGGACTAAATAATTTGTTACTTTACGTTGCAACATTATCACATGACCTGCGTGTGATTTGCAGTTTATTCCACAGATAGGTACATCTGACCAGGAAGAAATAGGAGGACATGCTTATTCTATCCTTTGGTACATTCTATCTATACTCTTTGTTGCGAAGCTCTCGAATTGAGCTATCTTCCCATTCGAGTGTAGGTAGATAGGAATAGGTCTTTTTGTGCAGCAGGTTATGAAGCAGCGTCAACCTGTGCTTCAGACGTCGCATCCAAAGTCGCTCAACTTGAAATTTGTTGCAGCATTCTCGATAATTCAGCAGAGTACCTACCAATCATATGTTTAGTAAGCGGCTTCTGTACATGTTCCCAAGCATTTGTCGCTCTTTCTCATTTTGTCCTATATTATACTACGATACTCGAGGATGGGGCGGGTGATTAGCTTAAAAACCTCAGCCCTGTGTGTTATTGTTGAATACAGATTGTCTGACATGTGCCACTTGGTATTGGGTCTGCTCGAAGAAGTTGAAGATAGAGGAGTGGGTACTTCCGAGATTGCGCGTGGACAGTTGTATGCGGACATCTACATCGTTCATTGCAATAGATCCTTCGCTGTTGAGCAATGACAGTGACTGATTTAGGTCTCCTTTTTATGTTTTCTGGTTCCGTTTTCCAGTTTCTTTCATGGGGTTCCATTACACTACTGTGCGGACCGCACATTTTATTTTTCGACCCAGTTATGATCTCAACACACTGGTTGGAAACTGGATGCCGCAAAATTAGTCTCTACTCAATGTCTTGGGTTTGTTTGCGTACAGCTCAACCGGTATTCATTTAACACCGTCGAATAATCCATTCACTGTAGAATTTATTCTCTATGGGTATCCTATTCCAAGCGCTGTTTTCCCAGCTGACAATTTGATCGCAACTGCAGCACTCAACAATGGCAGCGACAGTCTTTGCGCATGCCCCCGAGCTATCAGGATGGCTGTCACTTCATTACTGCGGACTGAGAATCACTGATGAGAGGTGAGTAAGAAGCCGCTTAGATAGCACCTTCACACTGACATAGGTGTAGGAGCGGTGTTAAACATGCCGCAGACCAGCTACAGGTATTTTCTCGGGGTTCATTGGCGTGTCCGACTCCATTTGTCACTCCACACTGCTTGCTGGTGCCTGTCCGTACAGTTCCATGCAGCATGAGGACAATTTCAGTGCTCTGCATATTCAGAACTCTCAGGCTACTTCACGTTTTATGGGAGTAGACACGCACCTTTCCGATGGCACAGGACGTTCGGAAGGATTGTCCCTTTTTATTTTTTCCTATACATGTTCATGGGGCGTTTATTGGGATCTCACCATTTACACATTGAAATTCCATTCATGGAGAAACCGGTTGACTTTCGTTCGTTGACCATTTTGATGCACACGTGGTGAGACTGGATTGCGATGTGCAGTTTCTATCTGGACCACCATTCACTGAACTGTACCTCCTCCAGTGAGTCATTGACCGTTGTCGCAAACGTTACCGGCCGCGACTCGATGGCTTAGGGGTAAAGGCTTCGACTAGCTTCTTTGAGGTCTCGAGTTCGATTTGCAATTTAGTTATCTTTATCTCTACCTGATGAATCCAAACGAGTACGAAATCGGTCATGGAATGTTGCGTTGCGGGTGCGCAATGCCTAACGCTTATCCGATTGACTTGCATTAGGCGCACGACGTCGGCCCATTGTTTGGCGGTGGGCACGTAACGTGGACATCCCTCCGAAGTACGACCTGATCTACGGAATCAACAGGTGCTTTGATCCTTGACGACAAGAAACCCCTGATCCGTTCGCTGATCACTTTCTGGCCCGGTAGCTGTGATAACGATGCGCATACGTTTACTTAGTTTGTGTTGCGGAATGAAAGGTATTCCCGTCGATCTTCGATACTCTTTGCAACGTAAAGGAACTTCTTTTAGCCTTATAGGCTGTTTATATCGGAAGACGGTAAGAGCCATCGTTCACAGATTGTATCCTGACTGCTTTCTTTCGGATTTTTTTCAACTTCATCTCTAGTCACCCAGCTCGGTACTGTTGATCTGTTATACTTCAGAGCTGTGATCCACTCGGTGCTCTCAACACTTATCTCCACGTCCCACAAGGCTTCCCAGTAACCAGCAATGTCGGCGTGTTTTATATTGTTACGCAATTGGATTAGCTGTTCAGAATAAACAGGCTACTAAATTTACTATTGGCTTACTTTGGTTATGCAGCAGTGTAGCGTAAAGCGATACGAAGCTATTTCGTCGATAACGCTTTTTCTACACTTTTGCCCGCGTATTATTCACATGATGCATTCTCTAATATCCCTTTTTGTTTCCTCTTTATTTACGGGTTTGCTTATCACCACAACCCGGCGCTGACTCCTTTCTCTGATACTGCTTGTGAACTGCGGGTGTTGTATCTGACCGAGTCTCCCATTTTATCTCCGGAAATTATCTATCATCGTTTCCCACCCGGTGATTTCGTTTTGATGGATGGCCACTATTCGTGCTATATAGCTGGTCTACTTTTTGCGACGACTACTACTAGCGTTGGAATCTTTAAGTTATTTCGTGTCTTGTCTTCTCGTTCGTTGCAGTCAATCTCTATTGTGGCGGTATCTTGCATGTGATTCGCAGCCGCATTCATCACATCTATCCTTCTTTATCCTGCTTCATACGCTTCAACCTCATTATTTGACTGCTCATCACCGTTTTGAGCAATCCACTGGGGCAGTCCCCCACTACGCTTGCCTCATGATTATCTGAGACTGTAGTTAAGACCAAGTAGAAAGCTTTCTGTACAAATCTATCGAATTATGAAATCAAAATCATTTAATTGCGCATCGTCAGTGGTAGTGTTTGGTTAGTCAATCGTTTATCCTCGTTCGGTTATCAATTCGTATTGGTGTCTTTATTTCCAGGGATAGGATGTATGTTTTTGCATTGTATGTGCACCGTTTCACAAAAGCACAGGTTTCCGAAATAATCGTCAATGCGTGTATTAAAACACTTCACGGAATCGGCCTCTATTAGCCCTTCTGGTAGTGTATTCCATAAGTTTGCGATTACTCGTTTTGAACATGTTTGCTAATTAACACTTTTACTTTTCCCACATTTTTGGTAGACTTCTACTCAGGTGGTGTTAGAACGCGTCCTAGGATTCACCTCAAGTAATAACTGTTCCTTATCTTTGGACCTGAACTCTGGATTGGTTTCGTATGCAGCTGGGTAAGTCCGATCCTGTTCTCATTGTTACCATTTTTAATTGCTTTCTGTCCACCACTGGTTTCTTTTTGCACGTAAGCTCGTCGGATTTCTCTTTTGCAATGTACATAAGTTTACTTAAAGAGAAATGTTCTGTGATTTCATAATCTGTGATCAAACAGAGCCTGCCCGTTCCAATTCCATCTTTATTTTTCATATCGTTGTCAACACGGAAATTTGCTTCTGGAAAGTCATTATTAGAGCTGAGAAAACAATTTGTATCGTTGATCTTCCGCGAGCTTTTGCAGTGCTTCCTTGAATATGTTTGCGGACGTCTTGAGCCAATTGCGAATTAGCAGGCGAAGTCTGTATACTAGTGTAGTATTCTTAGTGTATCGGCCTAACACCGCGTAAGTGATGGATTTCCGTAAATAAGAAAAGACGAATAATGGTAGGCATAATCGGTAGTTGAGAAGTTCAGACGAGACAGAAGTACAGAGAGTAGAAATCAGGTAAGCACTGAATTCATGCGCACGCACACTTTATAACAGTCGCTTCAGCCAGTGGGACGTAGGCGCATACGGTCACATGCACTGGGTAGCAATCACCCACGCAGTCAATCAATTAGTCAGTCAGTCAATTAGTATAGCACAGCTTGCCATAGTGAACTGGATGTCGGGCAAGTGATACAGTGTATATCCTGATTTGGAAGCTGGTTGTGGTGAACCTCAATTATCTATATCCAGACAGTCACATGCTGGCCTCGCAGTCGAGCAACAGGCAGGAATCACTGCAGACGCATATACCCGCCGGAACTCAGTTGCTAACAGGTGCATAAACTATCACAGCTTAGGACTCGAGATCAAGCTAATGCGTCTTTGCTTTGTTACTATACTTTTGCACACTGCGTCGTATGCGTTTGTTTTTCATTATCATTGACGTTTTATTAACTTTAAGTATCCATTAGATGCGAATTTCTCTGTTGTCTGGATGGTCACTAAATAAGTGTACTTAACGACTCCCTCCTTTTCATGTACTTCAGCTGCGTAATCGTGCTTCGTTCATTTGATTCTGATCGTCAGCAGTTCATTCAAAGCGCCAGCAAGAAGCCGATCACGGCTATCGAGTTCAGCTCGGACGGCAAATACGTCGCTACCGGCGAGGTAAAGCTTTGCCTCTGCCCTCTGCCTCTTGTCTTAATCGAACATCTTTTTTGAAAATCAGTTAATCATTCATCCCTCTCCCCTTCCACTTTTGGAGCTGTTGTTCTACTTTTCTGTTTGACCGATCTAGTCTGTTGCATTTCAGTGCATCAGGATGTATTTGGTTCAAGAGATCTATGGTTTATCTCTCTGTGTTGCAATCCACTCGTTCTTTACTCTGCCGTTCACAGTCAGGCCATCAGCCTATGGTACGCGTCTGGAGCGTGCTCGAACGCTCTCAATCGGCTGAGTATGCTGGTCACCATTTTCGTGTGATCGCTGTGCGCTTCAGTCCCTCTGCCCGTTACTTGATTAGCCTGGGTAGCCAGGAAGACAACACTCTCTACGTATGGGATCGTTCCAGTGGTCAACGGATTGCTAGCGCTAAAGTGACCAACAAAGTGAGTAAAGAGTGAAGCATCTTTGTTCAAAGCATTCAGCAGTCTGCTTTGGTTTACTCGTTTTGAGCCATTAATTGGCCGTTTTCGCATCACCGCTCATCCCACAATAAGTTTCTGATAAAAGTTCGATTTTCAAGACAGTATGCGATGTTTTCTGGTTGGCAACGCCCAATCTCCATTATATCGACGCTTCACATCGGTGCTTAACACCAATTATTGAGGCTTGAAAATAAACGAAAAGAGGGGATTCAATATAAAACCCAATTGCTCAGCAAGCACTCGGGTTACGGTCGCCTACACCTCATCAACTAATCACGGTCATAAACAACTGACTGTCGTGCAAACGAAAGGCGGCATCTGCATCATAGCTTCCTTACTTATTTCACTGTTCATTGACGCAATTAATCTTATCTCATGCTCTTCCAAGAGAAGACAGCGTGCGCCACTGTCGTCGGCTGTGTGCTACGTTTTGTAATGCCTTGAGCCGAGTACACACTGAGTCGTGCATTGTCCCCGGTCAGCAAGATGTGATGGCCCAGGAGCACCAAGTTCAGTAGTCGTCGACTTCATTCCCTGACACCAATTCCACGTTTACCCTTCTCTTACTTGCACATGCCAGTTCCGGCCCCTAAAGAGGGACGTTCTCGATGAGCAGTGGGCTGGCACATGCAGTAAATGCCGAGACCAGCACGAGTCGCTCAGGCTTGTATCAGCTCGTTGACTTTGCGTCTAAATTATGTGCGGCAGCTGGCTTGCCGAACTACCTCATCGTGGTGCCAGCTGGGTGGGTCGGGATTATCCCGTTCCAACGAAAGGTTCGGCGACAGTGTTCCAGGATATGGTGGGTTTTCGCCAGGCGATTCTTCAGATCTAACGAACTCCGCCGATCAATTTATAGCATCATTTCACTGCAGAGGCTTTGCTGGCTTGGCCATGTGCTTCGCATGCCTACCTAGTGGCTACCACGACGAGCCTTATTTGCGAGCACAGGCGTGGCTTGGAAGCGACAAAAAGGAGGGTAATGTAAAACTTGGATTTAATGTGTTAAGGCGCAAACGTTGAAGCTGGCTGTTGTCGGGCGATTCCAACTCCCGGATTGGGACCAAAGGACCCCGAGCACACCTGGTTGCAAACGCTGGAGGATATGGCGAAGGACCGTACGCAACAGTTGTTTTCCCTTCATGCTATCCTTTTTTCTTATGTGTTGTGGCACTCAGTCAATTATATTGTAATTGTTATAGTGTTATATATATATATATATGCGGTTGCTTGCACGTAGTGGTGAGTGAGCCATGGACTTCTTCCGTGGCTATTGCCGCAATCCTGGGGAATAGCCGTATCCGAGTTTCTGTCGTTCTAACGGTAATCGGAAATATCTAACGCACTGAATTCATTGCTGTTCTTTTCTTCCATTCAGAGCCGCGATACTCCGGCTCTCTCTCCTCACTATGCATGTTTGTTTGACGTGGCAGACATCTCAGCTATCAACCCGCAATAAAACCAAATTAGTTGGCAGTAGAATTTGAATGAGAAAGGAATAAACTAAAAACAGGCGAGACGAAAATTGTATTACGTGTCAACATTGTGATCCCAGTTGGAGAGAGTCTAAGCGGAGGGGGCGGGAAACTCAAAACACAGGCGCCATTTAGGTCGGTTTTACGCCATGTCAATAACTGTGTCCAGTCCAAGGTGTTCACCATTTTTCGATTCCTTCCACAGAGTCTGGTGCATGAAATAATGGTGCTGAGCGGTTCACCTGTTCTTCCCGCGCTATTGACTGTCTGTTGCATTTTACTAGATCATGTCCACTCACCGGTATCCTCAGTGAGACCTTTATTTAATCCATCCACATTGTTATCCCCTTTCATAGATCAATGGCCTCGCGTTCAGTCCAGCTGGTCAATTTTTCGTTACGGTTGGGGTACGACACGTTCGGTACTGGTATCTGGAAACCAAACGCTCCAGAGTGAGTTCTGTTCTCCTATGGACCACACCTTTGATCACTCGTCCATTCATGCCTCTAGAGTTGACATTTATGTGTATCATCCTCGTTACTGCTCCATTTTAACCGCTTCAGTCTATTTCCGGTGTTTCCGTGTGTCTCCTCACGTTGCTCAGGGTATCGTTCCGTAAGAATGAACTTGCTTGTTTTTTCTCTTTCGTTTCAATTCCCGTTCACTCAGAATAAGGAGACAATTCCTTTAAATGGTCGAAATGCCATTCTCGGTGATCTCTTCAATAACACTTTCATGGACGTGTGCTGCACGCGACACACCTGCAAAGAGAATGCTGTACAGTCACCAAAAAGTGAGTCCAGATTGTCCCACGACGATCCTGAGTCGGACGCTTTGGTTTTGGTCGTGAGCAAGGCTGGACAACTGATGCAGTTCAGTGAGCAGCGCTGTTTGGACAAATGGGTTGAGCTCAAAGTGAGTCTCATCTATTGATTTGTGATGGTTCACACAGGTTGTTCATAACATCTTTCCGGCTTTCAAACATGCACTGTCTGTCGCTTTTCCACCGCGGTCCCTGTTTTTGTCTAGGTAACCTGTGGTCGCCAAAAGGTGAATTTTGGTGTGTTCTCATGCAGCGATCAATGATGACACTAATCTTCCCTTTTTAGTTGACTTGGCTCCCTTGTTTTTATTGGGCTACTCATGCAACGCACATGTTTCTCCTTGCGAATATTTCTAGTACACGCTCCGCAGAAGCATTTATTCATTATCTCTGCTTTGTGTTCGAAAGTTAAAATTATATATTTCTCCTTTTTCGGTTTTTCTTAGGTTCCTCAAGCAACCTGTCTCTCGGTCCACGAGTCATGGGTTGCCGTTGGTTGCTCGTCTGCCACTTGCCTCATCTTCGACTCGCAGAGTCTCCAATTTCTCGCTCGTCTCCCACTACCACATCAACTGGGCTCCGAAGTGCAAGTATGTCCCGTTTTCTGTTGTTGGTTCTCATTTCATTTCGTCAATTCATTCCACTTGAAATGCGTCTTGCTTTCTGTCACTGAATTTTGTTTATACAACTCCTACTCCGCTAACCAATTTGTAGATGTTTGAGTTTTGGAATCTGCATTGACACATCACTTCTGGGCGTTATTTGTTTGTGGTTTCTACGTATTGTATGCTTTTTTTGATGGTTGTTCCACTTGATGCCTATTTGCCTCGGCTCGCGGAAGAATCTGTCCCCAACGATTGGATATGCTCGATCCTGAGACCGCTTCACTAGGGTTGTGATGCGAGTGAAGTAGAGAACTATAGACAGATCTGTTTGACTTCGCTATTGTCCAAGTTTTCGAGAAGGTTGTGAAAAAGTGTCTGCTATCGTTCTTCGAATAGATGGACGTATTGGCGCCAGCGCAACACGGCTACACGAAAGGGCTATCTTGCATCACCAACTTGATGTACGCAAACCACCAGTGGGTTCGAGCTCTCAATGAACAGAAGGATGTTGATGTTGTGTACATCGACTTTAGTAGAGCGTTTGACAGAGTGAACCACGAGATACTCCTTCGTAAACTGAGGACATACGGAATCGGTGGCATGTTATTTCAGTGGTTACACGAGTTTATTGTGAGACGAAGGTTTAGAGTACAGATTAATCACTACCTGACAGACTGGTTCCCATCGACCAGTCGCGTGCCTCATGGAACTGTAGTTGGGCCGGTATTATTTCTTATTCATCTCAACGATCTTCCGCAGCAGCTCCAGTCACCATGTGTCCTGCTTGCAGATGATTTGCAGATCTGGAGGACCATTGAGAACCAGGACGACTGCGATCGTCTCCAGTATGACTTAGATCGATTGTCACATGGTCCACTGAAATACAACTCCCTCTTAAGTCGGAGTTCATCAGTATCACCAGACGTGCGGCCACTCGATCATACACCTTGGACGGCCAGTTGCTCCATCCCAACACATCTGTCAGAGACTTAGGAGTGCTCTCGCGACATGATATGAGATCCCTAGAAAATGCAGAGAAATTGTACCGTGCGCGACTTCGTATGCTCTGGGCATTATGACTCAGTTTCTCCACATGGTCTGAAGAAACCGTCCCTCACCTGTTCACCTCGCTCATCAGACCAATCCTTGAATACGGTGCCCCAACTTACCATCTGATAACCCAGTGGGAAACTGAAAAACTGGACAAAATACAGCATATCGCAGCCAGCATGATACCGAGTTTACGAAAGCTTGCGTATGAAAAGGGCTCGGACTCTACACACTATCCTACCGCCGAGTAGGAATTGATCTTATTATGACCCATCGAGTGCTACACTTGAATCACTTTGTCCGGGAGAAAGTAAGAATTGCCTTGGAAATTCACTATTTTAGCGATTAATCGATTATTAACGATTATCGCATCGATTTCGAACGTTCCGGAATGTTCTTCTGCACGTGATCAAAATCCACCTGACCCCTCGGCAAAAGATATGGGGAACCACTAACCTTGGTAGCTGACCTTCCAATTCTAGAAGTCGAAGGTCAGTAGAGACCTATAAATATAGCCAAGGCCCACAGTCGTTGTACAGTGTTCGTTGACGGCGATTAACACGTTATTTTGGCAAGGTCATTGACGTTTTGTAGTTTTCCTTCGGTTGGGCTAGAAGTTTTGTGGAGCAGTGAATTGTTATTTTTGGGGTTGCGTCTAGTGAGAAGATTATAACACACTTCCCCATACTGCGGCCAATATTTCAACTGCAGGAAGACTGTAAGATCCGAGGACACCGTTATAAATTCAGGATCCCCCGCATGAACTAGGTATCACATCAGCTTTGTATAGAACAAAGAATCGTAAACGTATGGAATACATTACCAGAAGGCGTAAAAGAGGTCGATTCTGTGATGTGTTTTAAAACACGTACTGACGATTATTTCGGAAATCTGTGCTTTTGTGAACCGATGCACACACAATGTAAAAAAGATACATTCTATATCCGGAAATAAAGATACCAATACGAATTGATAACCGAATGATGATAAACGATTGACTGACCAAACACTACTGCTGACGACTCGCAATTAAATGTTTTTGATTTTTCGTAATTCGTTAGAGTTGTACAGAAACTATTCTACCTGCTCTTAAATACAGTCTCAGTCCCAGCGTTTCTACTTATTGAGGCTTGCTTGCGCTCAGTCGTCTCCATTTGCCTTTTGTTTATGAAATGAACTAGATCTGTGTGATCTTTCGCACAAAGTTTTTATTGGTTCATTAGGATGTATAGAGCAGAAAGGAAATTTTTAGTCAGCTGCTTATTTTCTTTGCAGTTTTGTGAAAAGCTATGATGCCGTTACCTTCGCATACATGTATCGTATATATCATCATCATCCTCATCAGTTTACGCTAGCATTCCTTCATTTGCACCCCCTAGCTACTTTCACAGACTCCGCGCTTTCCGGAATCCCCATGTGCAACGGTCGATTCTGCGCTTTTCGCTGACTTCTTGGCCGTCAAATTGGACTTACCGCGTCGCCGTGTCATTTGTTTTTACGCAGATCACAGGTGCATTACTTTTTCACCCAGCCTGTTGCTGTTTCTTCTTTTTCAGTCCACTTGAATTGTCCGACGTTTCATTAGTGAATGGGTATCCGAATGATTCTCCGCATTTTTTTCGCATCCTCTGAAGCCCGTTCTCTTAAATACTTACTTAGCAGCTTGTTTCTGTCTTCTCAACCGGTGTTTGTTGCTTGTGCGCGCGTTACGCGGCCGTTTATTTCATCTGCGACACGTCACTGATTGCTGTTGGTTTCAGAGCGTATGCTAATTTCTTATCTTCTCTATGGGGGTACGAAACTGTTTAATAGTCTACTTATTATTTTCGTACTCAGTTGCTTCGCTTTTGACTTCTGAGATTAATGTTTCGACGGTGGTTCGTCTCGGCCGCACTCCGTCAGACATCCACTGTATGTGTGGAAAAGCCGGGGGTGTTGACCGTTTCATCCTTGGTGCAATCGTCAACAGGACACATCCCATATGCACTAGTACCCGTGACCATACATTACATTGTCATCGATATTACTAATGGTAAATTGCCCTTGGTACAAACCTAGATATACACTATCCCGATTTTTTAAGCTGGGCACCACGCATTCACTTACGGGTCACTTTTTCGTCTAAACTCAAATTCCATGTACTTTACTATTGCCTCATTAGTTACCGCGTGGGTAATTCTAGAATTTTACGGGGTCCGTATGCGAAACGGATCACTGCGGCGTTATTTCTTGCCCTCCAATCGAGATTTCTCACTGAGGATCCGCTTCAGTGTAAACTTTTTCCAAGTGTATTTGGCCATTTTTTCGAGCAATTCTACTTCGGTGGTGACCTCCACATCGTTGCACGCACCGTTATCCACCTGCAAATCACATTTGACCACTCCTACATTTGAGAATCTCAGAGCTCATTGCAGTGGCTATGACCTTCGACTCTTTTGTCATCTATATACAAGGATCACTGAACCTTACATTTGCTATCGATTTTCGTGATGACTAGATATTGTTACCTATTATTACCGAGTTTTACAGGACTGAGGGTGGGTGAAATCTTATGTCGCCTAATTATTAAATCAGCTTACATTAATATATCCACTGTCCGGTGGTATACTTTGGCTTCGATTCTACCCTTCCATGTACCCATCGGAACAATTTCATCAGTGGGTTGCGATATTACTCGTTCGCTACGTTCCTACTTTACTTTCACTTGCGTTTGCATCAAAATATGTCCTTTGGAACTTTTTTACACGAGAGTCCGTATAGTTGACAGTTAGTCCTGGCAATCTTCACCATGATTGCTTAATCCATACTGGTCGATAGACATCGGTCGTATTTCCATGCTATCATTACTGTGTTCTCTTTCTCTCTGATAATTACTCAGATCTACATTTAATTTTCTCAGCTTACCCCATCGGGGCCTGTAACTCGCATTGTGTCTCACTACTTAAGATACCGCGGTGACACGTTCGCTTTCCACTAACACGATCTTCGTAAGCACCTTAATTTAATCTTCCAGACCGTTGCGAAGTGACATTATGGCGCTCACCGCGAATTATGTATTGCTTCCTCTTGGCGTCTGAGCACATTTGTCCATGCAATGAATGGGTTAGGATCTGGTGCTCTGAAGGCCTAATACATCTTTTCTCATTTCTGAGCGCATCGGACTCCCACGTGGCCTACCACTCATTGTGTTAGTTTTCCTTTCGATTTCATTTAGTTTCCTTTCAATATTGATTAGGCGATTCAATCACCTTCACACACAACGTATAACTCGTGATTTACTAGAACAGAAGCGAATTTGTTTGCTAATCTTCCCTCAAATCAACACGTGATCGGATATTGATCAAGGTATTATGCTTCCGCTTTCGCTATTGACTAGTTAGAATATTTTTCTCTCCCATCTGGCTGGAGCTGGTGTCACGTGTTCTGTACTCCTGTCGGTCGGCTGAGCTGTTTTCCATCATGCTCATGGAATTCCACTTCTAAATAACTGCAACACTTTGCGGACTCGGCCGACACCGATTCTAACAGTTAAGTACATTTATTTCATTTCGCATATGTGTGGATACCGCTGTCCTCGTTTTTTCGTTGTTTTTCGTTCGGCCTGAAGACTGAAACGAATTGCGCACCAGCGAACACGCATTTTATCCATTTTATCCACTGTTCTCTGCATCTCCAGCGATGACCGCTAACTTTTCCAGCTAGCAAGCGTGCCTACTGTGTTCGGCTATTTTGTTTAACAAAATGAGTTTTTTTCTGTGTCCAGCCCACCATTGGTTACATATCTCCGTATGCCTCGTATTCTTTACTCTAATTTTCAGCATTCCAGGGGTTACGCTTCAGTCCCAACATAGAAACTGTTACGTCAGTATTGCTTTCATAGAGATGCGACCTTTTACGCACTACAATTGGCACTGCGACTCGTTGCCTACTTTTAGCTCTGTTACACGGCGACAACTGGAATGTCTTCGTTATGAATTAGATGCGCGTGCATTTTGCGCCCTACTGTTCGTTTTGATTTTTCTTAATGCAAACTTTTTATGCAGGCATTTTCCTTCACGAATTTCAATAAAGCAAGAAGAAACAACATTATAACTTTTTAAGCTGTTTGATTTTGTTTCTATCAGAAACTGTTTTAGGTGCCACCATTTGAAATGATGCCGTGATAGTCGGTCGGTACCGACTTCATCGATCCGTTAACACTGTTTAGTTTCACCGTTGGTGGTCCTTGCTCAAATCATGTGCCTCTAACTCGCTTTTCATCAAACAGCAGTCATCGTTCACTTCGACATCTCACCCTACCTTTACTTTTGACCCACCATTAATTTTGCTGTATTTGGCCGACGCATTCCACCGTGTTTTCTATTCGCAACAGCATTTATGTCTGGAATCTTGCTGATTTGTCCAATCTACGACTCGAATGCGCGCACTCCTATCATAGCCGTGGTGTCTGGTCCGTGGACTGCTTATCGGATGCTTCACAGTTAGACGTGTTAAAGCATTCCTGTGCCACAATGGACTCCTTGCTACCTTCGTGGTGGGCCGACTCCACATTCGTCACTTGTGCCGATGATGGAACAACGCGCTTTTGGGATCTGGAAGATTATGTGGAGTCCAGAGGATTTCCAGATGAAGACGCTGAGAGTCCACAACGATCTAAGGAGGTCGGTTCATAAATAATTACTTCCAACTCTGTTTCTTATGTTCTCGACCGTTTTTGAGTCTTCTGGTGCCTATCTTGCTCGCGTCCACACCTACTGCCAATCCACGTCTTCAAACACGTCAACCTGATCTCTCTTTTTGTCCATATTACTGATGAGTATTCCATATTCCAAACGCATAACAGAATAACTATAAATGACGGCGACAGCAAAATGACGTTGAATACAAATGGAATCAAGAAGAAGTGCGCTAAAATAATGAGGATGGAATGAAGATTAACGGCTATGTGCAAGAACACCACTAACTGCGCGACTGCACAATGTCTGCTAGGGTCTCCAACAGCTGGTGTGCCCTATCCCGGGACCCCGATCCACGAAGACGGAATGCACCGGCTTGACCAAGTCTCTCGGATAATTTCTTCTTGCTTCTATGCCGCGTCATGGACTTTGCTACCTCGCAGTTTCGCCCAACGGGATACAGCAACGGCGTATATTCCACGTTGAGGAAGCAGATCAATGGGCATACGGGGGACATGACTTAGCCAACGTGAGCGGTTGAATTTTAGCAACTACCCAAGTGAAGCATTAGAAGACTTCTTGCTGGAAACCAACTGGTAGACTTCAGCATTGCTCACCTGGTGTTCTCACCAGACGTGGTCAATATTCCGCAAACACCGGCGGTCAAACCGGCCAAGCGTTTAATGTCTTCGCCGCGAACTGGCCAGGTCTCTGATCCATACACTATCACTGGCTTTACCGCTACGCTATACACCATACCTTTCACTGGCAGGCTAATAGCACACTGCCTTCATAGGTGGATGGGCCTCTGATATACCATGTGGGCCTTGCTGACACGCAAAATAGCCTCCTCAGTAACCTGATCACCGGAGGGCCCACTAACTTTGTGTCTGCCCGCGTCAGTCACCTTTGGCCAAAAGTGACCAGCCACCAGTAAAGTTGCTGTGTGACATTTAACCTCGTATTAAGAGTATGATTCGCGGCAATGCATTCTGTCCCTTGTGCGGTTCAGAAAAATGGCCAATCCCCTTGAGCATGTCAACGGGTCGGTCCTCTTCAAACATCAGCGATACGTTGCCCACATCTCATATGGTCATCGATGCGTAACGCAGATGCTAGCCATTTGCATTTCGACAGCTGACTGCGCGGTTACTACACTAACCTTTCCGTTACTTATTAATCGTTTGCTTTAGCTAGATCATGTCTTTCACCTACCTTCCGACCATCTCAGTCAACGCTCTGTTTACGAGCGTTTCGAACGGTCGATTGAAGCCCAAAGTCATCAACGGATGGTCTGTAGACTGAAGCTAACGTTCTGGGTTCATTTTGAAGCGACGTGTTGGATTGAGTCCCAATCAGTTTGATTGCTGGAACTGTATTTAAGACAGATAAATGACTGTGTTATCCAACCCCAGCTATTCACCACAATATCGTCAGGCGGAGCTGTCTGAGCTGTGAATCCATCCCCGGTTCATAGAGGTTAACAACTGACGCGTTTAGCACCCTCCCATGGCACTAAGTTCCGGATGGAAGCGCTTGCAACGACTGTTCGTGTCACACTATTGTGTGAATAGCTTGTGATACACCTTCTAAACGAGAACTTAGCGCAGTTACGATGTTAGCGGCACTCTTGTACTCGGCTATTGCTTCTCCAACTTATTACGTCCATCTAATCGTTATACGTCTAGAAATATACCCTTATTTACTTATTATTTTTGGTTGCACTTAGCCCTGTACTAATCAGAAGCTAAGTCTGGGCTTTGATCAAAATCTATAATTCGTGAACAGAAGGATCACTGCATGTATCGTATGCTTTTGAACCACTCACATTGCAGCGCCTTTCCTCTGGACATTTCTTCTTTGCTCTGTACTTGAGCGTTATTCTTATCAATCCATTTCGATTCTGTACAATCCACCCAGCCCACGTAATTATTATCAGCTTGTGTCTGCGGCGGTGGTCGATTATCTTGCAGCCTGTTATCTTCGTGTTCGTTCATCTCACTCGTTTGATCTCCGGGAGGCGCCAGCACTTCCTACCAACGCTTCGTCCGTACCTACGCTCATTCGAACCGTTGACTTCCGTATGTAATCCTTTCGGCCACCAACCGACTCATTTGATCCGCCACCATCATTAGCTAGTATCTTACCACCGCCATACTTTTGCATTGATTAAGTTTGTTATGCTCGCTTGCTTCTCACTATTTTCCGTCGTCATCATCGTTGTTGTTGTTGTTGTTGTTGTTGTTGTTGTTGTTGTTGTTGTTGTTGTTGTTGTTGTTGTTGTTGTTGTTGTTGTTGTTGTTGTTGTTGTTGATGGTTCCTTCAGTTTCGTGCTCCAGCATAACTTAGTTCTTTGTTTTTCATCGTTAGAATGGTATCTGAATAACCAAGTGAAATTCTCCCAAGACAACCACGCCACTATTACGGCCTGTGTGCGTTTTGCTGACTTGCCCATGTGCTTTATCTCAATTGCTTTGGACAAGGTAACAAGTGCATAGGATCCATGATTGTCTCTCAGTTTTGCACGTTCCCTTCATTCACTTCTTCTCCATGGGCCACTCAACAGAAATCCAATTATTGTGGACATAGCCTGTAGCAATGTTGGCAACAACTTACTATGCGGCGTCTGATTGGGGCGGGAATAGTGCCTGCCATCTGTGATCACTTGCTAAAGAATTGCGCACTATTTGCAAACAAAGCCATACCTTTGCTATCGTGCGTTTCCCACTAGAAGGCATTGCCTGAGCATAACACCGTCAAGGTCTTTTCCGCTTTCTCTACTTTCCTCACGATGACTTCTGTCTCTCAGATGCGGTTCTCGGAACAATGTTACCGGATACGATGTCACTCTCCGTAGTGGACATGATAAAGCCGACGTGTTTAGCAGCAGTGCGCGTTCAGTCTTTTGAGCATATCACGACCACAGTAACCAATTAGGTACAAGTAACACCGAGAGATTCAATACGCTGATGCACTCTACAACGGACTCCTATGCTCCGTACTTTTTCTACTCATCTGTCATATGCATTTCGCCTCCACTCACAGTACGTTTTGTTTCTTCTTCGTTTTTCCTTCAGCGGTTGAGGCGCGTTATTTTTACGGACCCAACACATAAGTACTTATGTGTAAATGGCATTCCTTCGGGTAAGTTCGGCGAGCACTGTAACCCCTTTGTGGTTCTTGATGCAACTGGCGAACACTTTTTCGGCCCACATGCGACTTAACGAGTAGCACTCATTGTCATCATGAACAACAGTACATTAAACATTTGAAACTGATGCTTCGCTATCATACAACCATAATGGTCTACAAAACGAAGAACAATAATAGGGAGATAGAGGGGACTAACTGGGACATCTTAATGCCCAAGCCAAACCTTCAATATCACGACCCCTACACCTTATCAACAACATACCGTCACAAACAGCTCTCTATCATGCAAAGATTAGGCGGCATCGGTGAGACAGTTTCCTTGCGGCTTGCACTACCCCGCGTCATAATCGGTCATTACTCCGCAGCTAACTCAGCACGAAACACACTTTAAACAAGCAGTCCTATTAGGAAACGGCAGCAGACGCGCCATTGATGACGACTGCGAGCCGTATCCTGTAACGCTTCGAACTAGGCGCAAGGCGAGTCACGTGGACTGCAGCCTCGACTGACTGACCCTCGGCACCCAGTTTGGTCGTCAGTGACTTCATTTCCCTCTGCCAAGTCAACTTTTGTCCACCTCGAGCTTTGCACCACCCTACATCTGGCAGACAAAACAAGGCTCTTCTCGGTAAACGATGATCGGGCATACATAGTACGTGACCAGGGCAACGCAACATGTGTAGTACTATCTGTTGGTCTAAGGAATTAACTTGTGTATTACTGCCTCAGTCGGTTGTTCTCGACTCCCTGGTTGGGATTTCAGAGATACAGAATGTCGCTGGTTGGAGACCCTAAACATCATTGCTCAGGACCGACGTCAATGGCGGACGTGTATATCTACACGTTGCGGGGATTTCCCTTCTCATCCCCAATAAAACAAACAATTGAAAAAAACAATTGAATAGTTACTAAAAAACCTGCATGTTTTTCCCCTATATATATATATATATATATATATATATATATATATATATATATATATATATATATAGTTACGATTGGCGGCATCCGGTTTCGGCTTTACCTGTCACTGTGAGCAGCCACAGGGAGGCTGCGCTTACAGAGGGACCATGGGTAGCTTGCGCTGCACCACTCACAGCTCCAACCACACCCCCCATATCTTGTGTAAACCTGAAGGAATAAGACCGGGAGGCATTTAGATGGCAGCCACGTTACATCAACGGAGCCGGCCCACACTCCTTCACAGGCGGACACAAGCACGCTGTATTTGGGAATCAAGCGCCACACAAGGCGGTGGCTGGACCGTAGTCCGCTCCACACTGAGTGCATGGAACCGCTCTTTGATCCTAACATGGCCACAAGGACTTCACCCCGTCCTCTCCAGCAACGACCAACTGTCTCCTGGAACCAGTATCTACGAGGTAGTGGGTAATAGACAGGTAGGCACCTTGTCAACACGCACATCAAGCGCAGCCACACCGGGGATATCAAGCAACAGCCAATTACTTGAAACGACGGTATCAAATAAAATAAGGCGAATAACGCATGCAGATACGGTAGCATAACTCTTCAATAAATGATTACATGAAATTAATTGGTTGCCAAAAATTCCGCGAAGGATACAATACGTTATAAAATATATCTTAAGAACACGCCACAAACGCGAAAATGTTATCGAAGTTAACTAACATAGTCGAAGGCACGTGTGCAAGTTTGTGGAAGATAGTTCAAGTAGACATCAATATGAGATAAAAAAGCATTAGGACAATATAGCAAACCCGCCACTTGAAATAAAGAGACTCGGCATGCATGCGCGCACTTAGCAAATCGAATGCAACATACGAACGCTGTGCCGGTTCTGCCCACTCTCTCAGCAGGACTCATCGGTGTTGGCCCCGAGTTGCCTTGCTCATGGCTTACTAGGCCTACCGGAGTCAGGCACTCGCGATCACATGTGCTACAGCACCATGCGCTCGATGCCGGTGGAGTACAACCCATCGGTGCTTGCTGCTTCCGCAATTGCCGCTTCTTCTCTGCATTTACGAGGCCTTTCTCTTGCTCTTCCGCAACGTCCTTCGTGATCAGATCGTGCCGTGCACACCGATGAACCGCCTTTGATTCCCATGACCTGCAATCAAGATTAGAACGTGAGAGGCTCACTTTGCTCATGTCCTGGTAACGAAGCTTCGGTTTCCCCACATGCCGCTTCCCAACACTCAGCTGACCATATCATAGCTGCTTTGGTATCCGCGTTGAATCCATATGCCGCACACGACCAAGCCACCTCAGGTGTCTCAACAAAAGTATGCAGTTCACTGTGAACATTCCACTTCGACGCAACACCTCCGTGTCCGCAATTCAGTCGCCCCAACCGAAACGCAGAATCCGTGGCAGACTCTGTTGACGAAACCGCTCGAGATGTCGCACATCTTGTCGGTACATCGTCCACGTTTCACTGCCGTATAGAAGAATGGACACCACCATGGATTTGTACACCATCAGATTCGTACCAATGGTAAGCTGATGGCTGTTCCACACTCGATACTCAAGCTTCACGAATGCCGCTGCTGCCTTCGAGACGCGGATACGCAGGTCACTGCTTATCTTCTGGTCACTCGACATCACACCCCCAAACTAGCAGAAGCAGGAGGTGGTTTCCAATACCTCATCACCAATACTGATTCGCGGCAATATTGAAGATTTCACCTCCGGTGAAGGCTGAAAGAGAGTTTTGTTTATGTTGATGGTGAGCCCGTATTTGGCGTCTGTCCAAGCCAGAGCACTAGTCATGTACTGCAACTCATCCGCACTGTGTGCAAACAACGCACAGTCGTCAGTAAACAGCAAAATACGGATAGTTGTCTCACAGACTAGGGTGCTTGTACCGAAACGACGGATGTTCAGCAACCCACCATCAATACGGTGCTCCACACGAACACCGTAAGCACAAGCCGCATCAAAAGCACAACATAACATTGCATGAAGATATATATTAAACAGGGCAGGAGCTAAGACACAGCCTTGCTTCACACCAGAGACAACTGCAAAGTCATCCGAGGTCTCTCCACTCAGCTGCACCCTCGCCCGCATGCCATTGTGCAGACATTCAATTAAACTTACAAACTTACGCGGGCAACCAAACTTACCCAACGTCAGCCACAATGCCTCGCGGTTCACCGTATCAAATGCCTTGGTGAAATCAACAAAAAGCGAGTACAATGGCTGGTGTCGTTCTCTACACGTCGAATACAACCGATGAGCCGCAAACACCATATCTATAGTGCTGCGACTCGAACAGAATCCACATTGCTATGCGGCCACGTTAGGTTCCACAACCTGACTCACGAGGCGGTTGAGCAGGATTCGGGCAATCACCTTTCCCACACAACTCAGCAAGTTGATGCCACGATAATTCGTGCAACATTGTTTGCTTTCTTTGCCGTTGCTCAGTGGTAGCACAAGGGCATCATTCAATTCAGGAGGCACCTGCTTCTCAATCCACACGCGTTGCGCCAAATGGTGCAGCGCAGTCACCAACGCTGGTCTGCCGTGTTTCAGTACTTCAGGCGGAGTCCCGTCGGCACCGTCACACTTGCCGTTTTGCAGCTGAGCAACTGCTCTCTGCGTCTCATCCAGTGTTGGCGTGTCCGCCAGACTCATCTTCACCTCGTGCTGCTTGAGACCGTTCAGTGTAGGTCAGTCAATATCTGAACGGTTGTTCTAGATACAGTCAAGAATTTTTCTCCTGATCTGCAGTCTGTGTGCAGGAACGTTGCTGCTGTGCTTGTTGAGGAGTATGGGCCGGTTTCGTTGATGCAAAGTGGTCCCACCCACATGCCTACCGGTCCTATTCCCTCTGGTTTACACTGGCGCGTGACGTTAAGGGCCACAACGTTGCCTTGAAATTCTGAGGTCACGCGTTCGAGCCTGCGTAGAGGATCGGGGCTACTGTCGCATGATGCTTGGTCCACACACGACTGGTGATGGTTGCGCGGCGGCGAAGCGTTGGTAGTGTGTACTGGCGTAATGTTTTTTGCACCAAATATCGGGTGTTTGGATGGAGTTATGGCTGTTGCAGTGCAAGCTACCCATTGTCCCTCTGTAAGCACAAGCGTTCTGAGGCTGTCCGCCACGGAACCCGCAGTGACGGGCAAGTCCGGAACTGAATTGCACCAACCATGTTATACACCTGCGACCACAGCCAGCTGCAGATTGTAGTTATCGCATTTCCATCAGTTTGACCAGGGGCTGCCAGGCTTGTGGCGGGCGATTGCAAACCATTGACTACGTGGTGGTGCGCCCCCACTGTCAAAGACAGTGCATAGCACTCATGCTCTTCTCCACTCGACACTACAGCTCGTTACCTGTTGCCTCCAGTGACTTAACATGGAAGATGGACAGTCTTTCATTCCCAATTCCCCAACATAGATACTCATGCTAATTTAGTCTGATGTTACCTGTTTAGTACATTTACAGTTGATAATGTTAAATGCCGAAAATGCAACCATTTGGGCACATGAGGCTTATGTTGACTTGACTATGAAGAAACACAGTGTCATCTCCTTGAATCGCATTTTTGCATTTGGGACCACGGTTGGCTAAAAACCATGGAAGATATGGCACGGTCACCCATGTAATCACGCTCTTGCATCCACCTGATCAAACACACTTATTTGGTTCATTAGCGACTTGAGTCGAAGCAAATGAATCCACCATACTTTGGTGAACGTGCCATAACGGAAAATCCGACCTGACTTATTTAATGCTTCTTTACTTGGGCTTAACTTCTGCTACTGGTTTAATGCTTTTCATCTACGCTTCTTAGACGATAACATACGTGTTCTTCCCAACTCATCAGGTAGCCTGATTTATTAAAGGACTTATTGCAGTTCTGCTCAATAGTTTCTCTTCTGTAAACATTTTCGCCATTTACATTCATTACGTTTGCTGTGTACTCAACAAGCATCCCTTCCATCGTTGTTTTCCAGCCGAATTTACTTTCTCTAAGTTTGAAGGTGCTTGGGAACCCCTTCTTCCTTCACATCTTAAGCATGTTTGCACGTGCGGTGCTTCGTCGCTCTTACTCCCTTATATATCCGTTGCATTCCACACGCAGTTTGTCATCAAGACTACCAAAGATCGCGTCATCCTCTCTTGTTCATTTTTCTTTCGGTTTTATCTACTTTCTTGTCGCCATGTTTCATACAAACATACATTCGCGTGCCTCAAATTTCACTATGCTCCGTTTTATCTCACGGCTTCTTGCTTTGCAAACGGGCTTGTTTTCTCCTCGAACGAGTCCACCTTTCGGTGCACATGCTTTCTCAATCGGCTAGCGCTGTTGCATGCCGCAGAACTCTATTCTTCGCATCTAGCTTACTTGCGTTTCATCGAATGGCTCACTGGACCTATACCATGTACCGCGTATTCACCGCTTATTCCAACTTTATTCATTTGTAACCAAACTGAGTCCTTCACTTCGCTGCATATCTGATTATGACTGCCACTTATTTCCTTCCATACCGTTACTGTTGATCTCCCATCGGTCTCTTTAAAACTCCATGAACTGATTCCACTGGTTTACCCAATGTGTACTTCGAGCATTATGGCCCTTGAGATTCCCCAGTAGTTGGATTTTATCCGTCGTTTGTGTTAACAACACTCAGCGATGGCCTTCCACGAAATGGAGTTGTGTTTGCAAGAACTTTACCTCTAAAGGATGCTTCCATTGTACGCAACCCCTGCTGGTGGTCACATTTCTGCATACCTAGCTTTTGTGCCCCGAATTGGTTTAAGGAACTTGCATATTTCTCTCACGTACCAACATTTGTTTGTCACTGTCTGCACGTATGCTGAACGCGGCGCGTTCTCAATCACAAGTACTTTCATACTGTGAGTTGTCTTTTCTTCCATTCGACCGCATACTGCAAACAATCTCCATTATAACAGTACCGTAGGTCTGGTACTCCTTAGCCCCGCTGCGATCGGTGGTTTTGATGATTGAGATGCGCATTCCTTAATGTTGTGATATTTTCAACAAACCCATTCGTACACGCAATTCTGTACTGCAACTTCTCTAATAGTGTCTGATAGTAATCCCTTGATTTGTTCTGATCGACCAAATGTTCGCGTCAGCTCCTGAAAGCCATGTGATGTTCGTTTTTGGTTCACTCAAACAGAAACTTTTTTCGATGGTCGCAAATTATCGCTCCTGCCCTACCATACACGGCCTCTAGTTAAAATCCCTAATTTGCTCATCTTTTTATTTTCTCACTTCAAACGGTTATGCGCATTTATCCAACGCATAGGGGACACCACGATAAAAACGCTCATTTTCCGATCCATGGTGGTCCCTTCATGGCCTGCTCTCATTTTTTTCAATTGTTCAGCTTGTCAAATTACCTGTTATGTGAATACTTGTGGTTTTTGCATCTCTGTGTCCTGAGCTGTTCCATCTGATTAGATACATACTATAACATTCCAACTTATTCTCACCATTGCTTCCTACTTTTGCATTCGTTTTAGCGGGAGTAGGGCCCGTTGGGGGTCCGCCTACGAATTTCCCCTGCTCCGGACAAGGCGATTCTGCCGCACCCTCCCCGACCTCGCCTACTGTTCCAAATGCTGCAGGGTCGCTGTTGCGCGGGCCTAAAAATTCCATCTCTTCCGACGGATGCTGCGTCCGCACTGCTGCCATCAGCCCCGACTGCAAGCACTTGGCCTTAGGCGATCGTGAAGGCAATCTTCGGTTCGTGTACTGTGTCACTACATACTTTTCTGCTTTCGTCCTCTTACCAACCGTGCGTTTTGTATTGATGCGTCATTCCTCCTACTTTACATTTGTCAACATTTTCTCCTCTCAATTGATGGGCTGATGAACCAAATTCGGACCTGCTACCTTATCATGTTCCTTGGTAGGCCTTTGTGAACGTGGCATAAGTATGCCATTCAGCTTTTTACGGGACACCACAGACACATCTGAGGCCTGTTGGCTGAGTTGCCTAGTTTTGCACACCAAGCTGAGTTCCTTCTCCCGTAATCACGTCTTCACACTCCACTCATCCTGCGTCGATCCGCAGACCAACTGGGCTCATTTGCTCGAAACTAAGTACTGCATACATCAAGTTTCCACGCCTTTGTGCTTTGTTAGCTAACCCTGCTCAGGCACACTGGTCCATTTGGGGATATTTTTCGCAATGCCTGCGTTTCACAAATTTTTATCCCTTTTTCCTGAGGTGTTCGCATGCAGTCGTCGCTCTCGAGTGCGGCCTTTGTTTAATCTGAGGATAGTGGTAGATGAAACATCTACCAACCCTAGCTACAGGTATTCCGAATCTTTGGAAACATCTATGCGTTGCATACTGTTCGGTAGTTGCTAGTCGATTACCAGTAGTGTGTAATATGGCAACCAATAAAATCAGCTGATTGACCTCTCTGACGCGCATCTAGGCACTGATAAACCATCCCTTCCATTGGATACGTGCGAGATGCTACCCTTCTGTGAACATGCACGTCTCTCAACGATCCGGACAACTGTAGCAAGTGGATGACACCAAGCCGGTTGTAGACCGAAACTGTCTTTGATCTATGTGGGATGTACTCCGCTGCACCATGTGAGCAACACCTCTCCGCATTCTTCCATCCGTTACGACTTTGAACTCCTTCATGATGTTGGCTACTTCCTTCTTTATGACTTCTATCGGTTATTTGCCCCTCCTTCTGTGAGCTTTGTGTAACCAACGACGGTATCACCGCACTTATGTTTGGCAACATATATTTCATTGGACCCGTTTGACAAGATGCCAGTTATCCTATTCCCAAATTCACCTTTGCTCACACAGGTTCAGGCCATTGTTTCGTGATCGTCTGTGATGTTTATGAAATGCGTTCCTTACGGTCTCCCCACTCTGTCGTAGGGGATACTAACTGTACCCATACTTCCTGATTGCTTCTCGCCAAGGACACGCGATACATAACTACTCGCTGATGACTTGGTCACCATTTCTTTTAAAGCCCACATGTTTCGTAGTACCTGTCAACCGGCATCATCGCTTTTACATATCGCTGCGAGTGGCTCGCATTTAACATCTAGCTCTTGCCACTTTCTTCCACCAAACTGTGATTTTGTTCGATTTTCTCTGCGCACTGACTCGCTTAACTAGTCCATTATCGTCTGTTCTCACTCGGATTGAATTTGGCTTCTGTTTCTCATTTTATTTCTCCGAACCCAGGCTGTCCGGAAGGTATGCTTGCTTAGCTCACTCACTTGCCTTGTTTATGTTTCTCACCGGCACGCCTTATCATTCTCGCATGTTGACACCGTTATGTGAACATGCACAGATGTCAAAACTGAACTTTATCTTCTAGCCAATTTATCTCGCGAGAATGTTCACTAAATCTTTAAGGTCAGGCATGCGTTTGATGGTTATCATCCGCCTAACGCTTGTTGTTTGGTCAGTAACCTAGTCTGATTACCGGATTATTCTTGTGGACGATTTCGGCGCACTATCACGCCCCGTATACTCGCTTATCATGATTACGAATTCTTCCACACTTATCTGAGCACGTGCTGCCTTTTGTTAAACGAAGCTCGATATTTGGATCTTGGGTGTTACTCCCCACACAGGTGCCTACTCATAGTTGTATCGGGGAGACTGGATTGCTTAGGTCGTTACGTTAAGGCATCACTGCGCTAACATGAACATTCTACCATTTCTGCAGAGCACCATCTTTTAATAAATCACTCGTCAAGCCAGCAAACCATAGTCCTTTCCAGGTCCATGATGATCAATATGTGCTTTTTCATTTATGCTGAGGGTGTTTACACAATCAGCTCTTTTTATCGAACACAAGCTTTTATGGGATTGAAACTACCTCAGTTTTTCATCTTCGGTTTCATTTCACTCTACCTGCGTTTGACATCCACTGTGGCGTCACTGACTGCGTAATCCTACCTCACCATCAGCGCCCTTTGCCAGTTGGGAGACTCAATCCGCCCATCGTTGTATCCGGCCTGATGGTCGCTGCCTGGATATAGTGTTTATATGCCCCTGTTTTTCATGATTGCTTGTGGAATCACCCAATATGACAAGTTGGGACGACACATTATGCTTGTTCGGTGTTGTCCGATGCGCTCTATTTATACTGCGATGAACCCGCATCCGGACCACCCAGCCCACTACTGCGTTAGCTGCCCTATACTTATTATAGATGTGTTCTGCTATTCCCAAGCAATATCGCTAAGGAACTGCACAGTCACTCTCCTCAGCTGTGCATATTTCCCCCTGCCCTGTGGATAGGGCTGTTGACTCCATTTATGCGGATCAAGTCCTCTATGCTGCTGGTTCTAGTTGTTTCACCACATTGTGCTCGCCACTGGGAGAAACGTCTTCGATGTACCTCACTTTGTGTGAGTCGGCGGTTGTTGAGTATGCTTTGTCCACAGAGCTTGTTTCTAGGTGTTCATCCCATTCTCAGTCTTCTATCCTTGTCTGAATACCATCGAGTTGCAACACTATTGATTCCATACTACATCCGTCGACTGGGTACGATTTACTCCTAACCATCCTTGTGTTTCTTCGCTGTCACTGTTGACTGAATTGCGTACGGGGTTGTCCGCCACAGTTCTATTGAAGCACTGCGCTAATCTCTATCAATCTCTTGATCTGTACGATGGCTCAACTACTCTTGCCTGAGCCGCTTATCTTTAGACTGTGTGCATAAAACGCCCTACTCTTACAGCTAATTTCCTTACTTCGTCTCCATTTGCTACTTCCTGGCGCTTCATCTCCCTCAATGGATCACCTGTTTAACTCTAACTGTCTATGCCTGTTAGGCCGAGTCCTTCGCTAACCTCCCATTCACTTCGTCAGACTGATGTTCTTTGGTTGTCTTTATCATCAAAGAAGCCATTATCTGATGACACGGTGTACTTATGGCCTTATGCATGCCTACAACTTGGAGAAGCCACATAAAAATGCTAACGAAACAGTTGGCTTTGGCCGGTTGTTGTCAACTGCTTAGTTTGGGTCTGAGAGATGTGGATACTTGTTGGTTGGATATCTTGGAAGCCATGGCCCAAGATCGGCGTCGGTGGCGGACGTGTGCATCGGTGTGTTGCAGTCACCCTCTTCCTCCCCATAAAAAACAAAATGAAACAAATTCAACAACTGTGAGTGATAAACTGGGCAAAAAATTTCTGTTGTTTTTTCCTTTTCATTCATACTGTTTTCCCATTCCGCCATTATTCCGTTGGCACAATATCTGTGACACAGATTGCGTTTATTATGTGCGTGCCATCTTCCACGTTATCGCCCTCGCGAGTGAACTGTAAGGGACAATTCGCTTAGGAAAGTCGGGCAACTCGTAGACTACCGGAAGATTCAATAAAACATGTCCGGAGCAGATCTAGGCTAATATTTAAAAATTGCAGGGTAACAAATACTATAGGCAGCAATTCTCAATCAATACGAAATTGGATAAGGAGACACACATGCCCAGCGTCTCAGAAGCAACCCACAAATGAGCTCACTGCCCAGTCACAGTTGGGACATCAGCGACGGACCATACGAAACACGTACACTGACACCAGACAGGCAGTTGTACGAACCTGAGGGGCATGTGGAATTGTTTACTGCTTCAAACATAGTTTATTCTAGGTGCATCGGTTCTGATCAACGAAATATCCGCTCATCTTCGCACTTTTTGTTGGAGGGTGCATGGTGCGGGAAATTCGCTTATCTAGTGGTTGTGTGGTGTGCATTGCTTATGCGTCCATTCCTCGTGTGCATACAGCTGCGGTTCCAAAGTGTTCCTCTCATTTAGGGGAGTCACTGCGACTTGCTGTTAGCTGGTTGACGTTTCGCATCCTGACACTTTCATACTACTGCTAACTGGCGCAGTAGTGTCTGTCTTTAGTCCATCACCGAGTGAACGTACATCCAGGGATGTCCAATCATTGGGACTGCTAACGACATGGTGAATCATCGAATCATAGCTAGATCGACGAAGGGGTTGACATCACCTGAGAGCAGACGGAATGACAAGAGGGTCTCGTGGGATGTTTGGGATCACGTCTCAGAGGTCTGACCGTAATTGGGACGTGTGAACAATACTGGTGGCAACGGGAAGAGGACCTGAAGCAGTGCTGATTGCGCTAAATGATCAAAGTAGGGCTAGATGAATGAAATGGATGCAACAAGACCGACCCCAACCTTTTATGGTCTGAAGGTTAATGAAGATATCTGCCTTCTGCTGTTACGGAGGCGAAACGACTGACTACGAAGATGCACTCTGGCAGAGAGATTAACCAGCATACGTGAGCGGCTGACAGACTCGTTGCCATGCTCAAATCGGAAGCTGATGAAATCTGCTCGTCAGCATGACACGGACCTGTGGTAGCGAAGCTAAGTCAAGCCCGAACCTGATGAAAACAGTCAGTCAGTATGACACTGCTACGCGACAGCTGTGAGTAAGCGCGACTACAGCTGGCCAGTTCGCACGGCTAGCAGGCAAGTGGCTTGAGTCAGTTCTGGAGCGTACAACAGGAGATGATAGATTGCGACCTCTAAAATGAACCGTGTTCTGTGCCTAATATACTTCGGTTTAGCAGGTTTATGTGTTCTGCTTTGTCCCTGGCTAGGTTGGCAGTGCAGAGAGCAGAGGCGAGGGTAGCGTTACATCTGCCCTCTTCCTCCACTCGTTAACGCTTTTGGCTGCTGACTGGAACCTATTTCCAACTTTGTTTTCTGTTCCTCTATTTATTCCTAGTCATTGTGACACGCTTTAAGGCATCTTTGTCCACCGCACTTCCCTGTTCGAATCACAGTTTATTAGCCGAACTGCGCTGGACTCAGTCTGGTATCTTTCATCCTTATTGACAGGATTACAGTTGATTTATAGTGTTGCATTTAGTTTTATCGACTCATGTGCTCTGGTTTCGCTCTGAAGTTTGTGTTGCATTTGATCTTGGTGTTAGCACCACCTCTCCAACGTTGGAAAAACCATAGCGGTAACTACGTTGATACTCATGTTGCATCATCTCTCTCCGTTACCCTTCTCCCAGCATCTACGATCTGACAACAATGGAACAAATCCGCCAGATTTCAGCGCATGATAGCGAAATTTTATCGCTCAACTTCTTTAGGTCTGACACTGGTAAGCTTACGTGGTCATCTTTCTCATTATACAGTTGCTGGCTTCCTGGCAAATTGCGATCTTGCCAAACAGTGAAATTTGGTCGCTGTGAAATTTCTTCGGTTTCAATCTTAAGCTGTTTTGCCCAATGTTTCCTCCTGCGCATTATGCAGCTCTGTGGTCATTGGTGTGCAGCTACACGCAATTTTATTATCCGTTTTGGCAGCACAATAGCCTGAGGTGTTTCTAACCTCTATCTAATGGGTAATGATGATTTCGCACATCACAAGAACTACTGAAAACCTTGCCACTTTCAGGGACATTTTCGACGTTACAGAGTTCCAGCATTGTGTGGATGTATTCGCACTAAATTTCGATTCAACCAGAGTATGCGAAAATTACAGCTAATCTTAGCAACACACAGTGGATTACCGCAACACTGTATCAGTTTATTGGCCGTCTGCAGTCGCCGTCACTAACGCTCAAACAGCAACATTTATCCCGCTTCCTTATTTACATACGGGCATTGGATTTCAATTTTCCACTTCAATCTGCGAATCGCCGAAATCATGCAGTCCCCGCTTTTGTGTTGATTGAGGCACCCTGCGGGTTCTAGCTCGTGTACAGGCCCTCGACAACATCGAAGCATCAATGCGGTGTTGCCATATCGCTGTTACCTTCAGTCCGACCGGTGGCGGAGTGATTTATGCTTTTTGGCTGTACTCCGCGTGTCACCGATTCTAGTCTTGGTAGACGCGGGGGACTTAACATAATCCCAGTTTGTCCACTACGGCCAACGGTTGCGTCACAGCGTGGCATCGGCACCAAGTGATGTGGCCTGACCATCTGAGCGCGCTTATTCACCTAGTGTGAAATACTGCCACATACCGCACAGATGTGTACCAAAGCTACCTTTCGTCATTCACGTCTTCTACATGAAGCCAGTAGCATGTTGGTCATAAATATACGTACTATTTTTATCCAAGGAAGCACGATCTCTGTGGTTAACGGTTTGTCTTTCTGGACTGCAAGCAGCCGTTTTTCGATTTTCAGGGGTAATGTTGTCGCTATATTAGTGGTGTACTGTTTGGTCTGCTTTCCTCTCGGAATGCATCTCTTTTGCACAAACGAGGAAAGTCACGCCGTCCTTACTTTGTAATGTTAGGAAAATTACCGTTCCCAGCCTTCCGTTCCCGTGAATCTACCCACCTCCCATCTCAGGGTGTTGCTACCTAGCTCCATCTTGTACGGTGTACGTTACGTCAGTGCGGTGCACGCGCGCCAGTTGTAGTATGTTTCTTAAGGGCAAACATTTTCAGTTCACCATTTCATGATCGCCTGTAATCTTTGACCATGTGTTCGTTTTATTCCATTTGATCCGAAGTGCCGGAGCTCACTCTTCTTTGCTCTGCTTCGCGCGACCGTCTGATTCACATTTTCGATCCCAATCAAAACTATTCCCTGGTCCAGACGATCGCTGATCACTCTGCCGCGATTTTCGCCGCTCGTATCATCGAAACTGAAGAGGATGGTGAGATCAGGCTGGTTTCCTGCGGAATGGACAAATCACTGCTTATCCGCGTACTCGAGGTAATCCACTTTCTCACTGTTCCCGCAGTTTGTGGCTTGTCTTGATTTCGCGACAGTAGTAAATGACTGAACTGATTTAAGCACAAGTTTCAGTTCGTGCTGTGTGATTCTTATGGTTTACTTGATTCAAGCGTTAAGCTAGCTTATCACAGTCAGTTTTTGCCATTTTAGATGGAGTGTTTGGAATTTTCACTTTTGCTGGAGATTCCATCGTGGGAAATCTTGACCATCGGCCCGTAGCCTAGAGGTAACGAGCTTATCTCATAATCTTGCGGCGCGGGTTCTAATCCGCGTAGGGCTGAGCGTCCTCGTGGTATACTCAGCCCGCGTGCGACTGATGGTGGTCGCACGGCAGCCAAACGCCGTTACGACGTACAGCTGGCACATCATTATTATTCTTATTATTATTATTATTATTATTATTTAATTTTGTCCCGTTATCGAGTTCGGGAAATGCCCATGTGTGCGCATTTTACCGTTGCGTCAATCTCTTCTGGAGATTGTCACCCCTGATTTTCTCAAATTACTATCATTTTCGTATATCAATGACGGCATCAAACAGTAGCGCGCTTTAACGTCGGACAGTAAGCTACCCTCTCTGCAGCTTTATATGGTGCACGCTGGTACGGGAATCTTCGTTTGTGTGTCTTACTCCAATCTGCGGCGAAAGGTCGGAGCATACAGTGCTGGTTTTCCCACTCGCCTCCAACAAAACTGAATCTCCTAACATGCATAACTGCGTTCTACAGGAATCTTAAGTTGTCGCTCCTTCATGCTCACAAGAACATACTTTCTTGGGCACTAGTACTCGTATCCCCACCCCGTCCGTCACATCTGAAGATTTATTCGCTTACATCCACATTACGTTTGCGTTTCCATGCTGTTTTCCTTTATACTTCCGACTCGTCAGTTCCCCTCGTTCTGTTCGATACACTTGCCCAGAAATTCGTTCCATCAAATCAAAACTGAACAGTTTGCCTATCCTATACTCAAGCACAACCTGTTTCAGGTCCCTCGGGGAACCGTCGGATAACTTTCTGACAACAATCTTCGTTCGTCAGAATTGTCTTGTTCCGAAACTTTCGGAATTTTTTTCTGGAATGTTCCCCTATAGAACTGCACCATGCATGCATTGATCTACTACCCATGGGGAAATGCTTGCTTTGGACTGTGCAGATGATATCTCTTTGATATTTGTAAACCGCAATGCGGCACACTCAATCGTGAATAAACTTGGAAGCACTCTTGCCCTTTGGCATTTGCTTCGCATTTTCAAAGCGCATAGTGCTTTAGCAGAAAATCCAGCTAGTTGATTGTTTTTGTCTATTGGTAACAAATAGCTAGGAGCGTTCAATCGATGCATTTACCTTACTGGATGCATTCTCAGTGATGGGCGCCTGATTGCCGGTTGTGTGATAGTCGGTCATTCGGTCTAACGACGATTTTCCACTGTGTTCAAAATTTTCCGTGGAATCGCATCGGCGGACAGATTCCCTTGCATCGTTAAATCTACCTCCTTGCTTACCCTTAATTGGATATACTGTATGTTACCGAATATAAGCCAATGAATTTTGAACAGTTTTTTTCGTTTCTATAGGGCGGTCGGCTTATACGAAGGTCATACGCGATTGGAAAAAGTCACTTGCAAAATTCACCAGGGAGTGCACTGCATACCATTAGCACTACCCGCTAGTAACGGACGGTATTCCAGACAGGGATTTTAAGTGCCTATAACTGTACACGTTACCATTGTGTCGAAAATTCTTGGTATATTGCACATCTGACGTTCGCGACGGATGATAACAACGAATCCAAAGCCTTTGAACATTATATTATGACAGGCGATCCGGTACCTTAAAGGTACATCGTCCCACATCCGTGACCGTGAACTTTGCTCTCACCCCCTACTCTACTGTGGTGCATATGCATGGGACCCCTGACTATGCGAGGCAGCCTGTCTGACACCCTCTCACCATATATTGTCGACTGTCTTACCTGTTTCATATGACTTGTCGTCTGGGCAATTCACTATCCGATGCGGTGAAACTCTGTTCTAACGGCCCTACGCCCCACTAACCGCATTTATAAAATTACGGTCACCACAGCTGACCAATGGTGGAGCAGGTTCCACTTGAACTCACTCAAGTAAGGGCAAGTGCTGATGACATGGAAATCGTGGAGAAACCATTTCGTTACTCAGTGCTTAGTAGTTCATGGCTCGAATCTTCTGGAACCTCCCAAAAACTGTAATTTCAAAACTGGCTAGCGTCGTCACATATGCGCTATATCCCTGGTTCACAGCTTGACTCACTCTTGCTTCAAATTCAATTTTAATGACTGTAAGCCATTTCTTTCAGCCAATTTTATCCGTTTCCATGTTTTACTCTCTAAAATATGCTGCTTCGCCGCTTGTAACTCCCCTTTCATTATCGCCGTTCTTGTTTATGCAATCGCAACCATCCGTCACGACTAAACTTGGCTTTAACTTGGTGCGATGCTTTGCTTGCCTCGACAATTCATTGCGCTATGCTGGGTGGTGGTTTTGCACCTTCGGAGCCACTCATGCTAGGTTGCTCAGTGGTAAAAGGCCTGTCAGACTGTCTACTGTTCTCCTGGTTAGGGGTTGGAGTGTGGGTTGCCCCTTATTTCATAAAACGGACTCTCTGTAGCCTAGTGCCCAGCCCCCGTTAGCTTGCGGTCAGGCTTTTGAACCAAAGACTGCTTGAGAGCCCTGATCGTTCTCCTGTTTAAACCTGGGCAACCTGCCAATGTCCTGCCCACGCAATACAATACAAAAACTTTCTTTTCAAGCAATTCCTTGACGCTCTGGCCGTTGCTGAGGATAGTCAATGGCACCATTTTTGCTGTTTAGATGTAAGGATGCTGATGCTCAGACTCCTGTTTTTTTAATCCCCTCTTGCGTTTTTTTGTCCTTATCATCCCGTTTCAACTTCACTTTTATCCCTCTTGTTTTCAACCTCTCATTATTGAGCCTCCCCTGTCTTGCTTTGATAAGCATTTGTTTTCTAGTTTTAACTCACACACAATCGCAGGGCGTCGCCCTGGCCCATTTGACAATTCCATATCCACCGTGTTTCTATTTGGACCCCTCGATCCTCGCTACGACTTGCATGCTTCAGCCTGCTAATCTTTTCGCAGATTTGTCAACAGCCAGCATTTTTCCGAACACTGGAGACCCTATTGATCGATATCAACTGTTTTTCGGAGACCCTCCTGCATGACTCGAGTTCTTTGAATACCCTGTGATCTCCAACGTACGACACTGGCAGCACTTTCTCGTTGCGCTTGTCTGGAGGAACGAAGCCGTTTTGGCATATCTCTGAATTCTCGGGCTGAAGCTACCTTGGTAGACTGGGTCATAATCAACAGCAGAATGTGCGTCGTCAGATTGGCTGGCTCGTTCAATCTTCGAAGTCGCGCGCAAAGAAACGGTGCCTGTTTGTCATTGCGACCTATGCCCCCACAAACTGTACCGCTGACTCGGGGAAAGATGAATTCTATCACCAACTGAGCGATCTCCTTCGTTACGGGAAAAGTACGAATACGGTAATGTTTGCCGATGATCTGAACGCCCGAGCTGGAGAACTGTCCACTTATAAGTTTCATCTGGGTAGCCAAAACAGTGTAGGCTCCCGTAATTATATCGATGGGAGGTTGCTGCACCTTTGTGAAGATTCTCCTCTCTTGCGTGCACTAATTTCCGACACAGCACCCGCTACAGAGCGACATGATGCCTATCAGTCATTGAAGCCAAGTGATCACATCGCGATCAGCTTCCGCTGGAGAGGCTATATCCAAAGCTCGCTCGATTTGGAGCACGAACGTAGTCTCTGACTATGCACTCGTTTGTGCCGATTTTACACTTCGGTCGACAAATGGGTGGCGCTGCGAGCGCATAGATGCTTGCCAGCTAGCGAACCCAGATGTTCTAACTGTATATCAAAGTACCCTGACATCCGACCTGTGTAAGTGCTCTCTGAACACGGTGGAAGACCACTGGTGGTCTTACATTCACCAACCGTTATTAGCAACAGATGTCTTCATGTAGCAAACCAAGTTGCTAGCCTGGACAGCTAGTCTCTAAGAAGTCTCTGGAAGTTATGGATGTTCGCCCATGCGTTCCGGCTGGATACGAACACGAGACTCGAAAAGGCCTCAAGGTGAAACTGTCCTGGTCTGAAGAGTGACCGCGAAGTCTGGTGGTCTCTCGTGCATTGGAGATGGAAATGGCCGCTGCGCTTTTTAATCATGGGAATTTATTCCTTTTCACACTCGAGACAGGCAAAATAGGAACTGATATTAGCGAAACTAAATGCAACGAGAGTGAACAATTCATCCACAGTTTGTCATGACACTTGGAGTGTTGGGCCGAACACTGAAAAACAGCCTAATCAGCTACAGTTAACAGCTTCTCTATTGGCAGTTGCTCGCCCTTCTCGCTGAGTCGCCCCCTGTATTCGCCTTCACACTCCCAAGTTAAACGTGCGATCAGACTGTTGAAAATGAATACTGTTGCAGGAGCAGACACACTTTTCCAGTTGTCTACATATTCTGGTGACCAGCTCTTGTGAATGATATGCACAACTTACTACTAAAGCTGTGATAGCAGGAGACATTCCCGGCAGGTTACAGACGCTCCGTTTTCATCCCAATATTTTATTGGGGCTCACCTTCCTAATGTGGCAATCATATATGGATTAGTCTGATCTCCGTTGCGTTCAATTTACGTATCTTTGTGGTTCTTCATAGACTTGCTGGCACCCGTGAAAGCTAGATCCCTGAGGAGGAGGTCGGGTTCTGCCGAAATCGAGGCTGTATTGAGCACATCACGTCAATTGTTGGTTTCCCGCCATGTTTATCAGCTACCATAGTCGTGTTTCTCGACATCAAATTTGTCTTCGTTTCTGTGGATCGATGCGCTCTTTGGAACGGTCTACTCTTTCGGGTTGTCTTTCGCACTCGAAATACAATGTCTTCCT